CATTGTGTTATTATAGCACAACAGCGCATGCGCGGAGAAAATCACTTCTGCGGCATCGCACTGTTTGAGCTTTCTAACGCCGGCAGACTTAATGATTGATTTGTGGGGTTTAACGTCCCAAAACCACCATATGATTATGAGAGACGCCGTAGTGGAGGGCTCCGGAAATTTTGACCACCTGGTGTTCTTTAACGTGCACCCAAATCTGAGCACACGGGCCTCAACATTTCCGCCTCCATCGGAAATGCAGCCGCCGCAGCCGGGATTTGAACCCGCGACCTGCGGGTCAGCAGCCGAGTACCGTAGCCACTAGACCACCGCAGCGGGGCCGCCGGCAGACTTAGGTAAGCTTCTTATTGCAATGCTGAATGCTTCTGGGAACCCCTACGTATCACACAACGCCTGATGTGCCTCTACAATATTTCCTATCGTGTTGTTTTCCGCGCTGCATGTGTCACTTCGTTTATGTGTAACACGCTCGAGGTGACGGCAATAAAGCGATGTTCTTTGGCAATTTTTCGGCGTTTCCACGGGAAGAGGTACTCACCCATTTTCCCGCTCGACAAAAATGTGAAGTCGACTTGCATTGTTACCATTTCCATGCAGCGTGATCAACTTGATGTTGCCACGCACGACATTATCCACCTGTATGCAACCCGGAGTCTACTACGTGCCACGACTACAGTCGGCACCCTAATTCCTGCAGTCGAGAACTTAGTCTTATAGAACGCACAATTCATAGGCTGCGACCAAGGCTCGAGCGTTCTTTGGTATTCAAGTCACGTACTCGCATTCGTCTAGACGTTGCTGCTAGCTGGCTTTAGGACGTTCTTAAAGATATCATACAAAAATATGTGCACATATGCCATGCACGCTGTAGACAGCAATGTGTATAACCTTTTCTAAAGGCTCAGCCAATATTTATTTAAGAATTTGTTGTGTCCAACATAGAATAACTGCAAATGTTAAGGTTTCACATCTCAGAACCACAATATGATTATGAGGCTCGCCGTAGTGGACGGCTCTTGAAGTCTCACCCCCGTATTCACAAACGCTCCTCGACTCGACTTCCAACCTTCACTTGACAGAGTTGAGCACTGCGCCACCGCTTGGCTGAAAATGACACTGCGCTACTCAAGAATCACAGCAGATTATTGTCAATATGCAGTGACTTGCCGTGCCTAGAGATGGCGTTCCGATCGGCTTTCTCAAGTGAAGGTGAAGCGTTGAGTGAAGGGACGTTCTGGGATACGGGGGTCAGTCACCTACCTGCTTTTTGACGAGTACCCCAACCTAAGTACGCGGGCGTCACATACACTTCGATTTCGCAGAAATGCCCCCACCGTGGCCGAGATTTAATCTCGCGATCTTCAGCTCAGCAGTCGAGCAGACTATAGCTATACCATACAAGCACGGCGTGCTTTCAGTGCTGAAACCTTCCTTAGACCTGTTTGTAATCGTGTGTAGTAATTTGTTTTCTAAATGAAACGCGTTTCAGCAGTGTAAACACACCATCTAGTCTTTCTTGAAGCTTTACTGGCTTGAGCCCTCGCTTTAGGAGCCTGAAGTCACCTATAAAATTCCCACAGCCCACAATATCTATTTCCTTATCGCTGTACCAAGTGTGTTTAGCAAAAGTTGCTAACGATTTAGAGCACGAGGTACTCTACTATGGGAGAGCCTAAAGCCGTCCCGTAAGCCTGAAACCAGCCTCAGACCAACGGCTAAATTGCGTACTCAAGTACTCAAAATGCTTAACGATTTGGACTACTTGGTACTCAACTATGTTTACAAACACAGGTGCTGGCTGGCTTCCGGCTGTGTGTGCCGGCATATCGTAGCAGTCTTAGTGAGAAATAGAAGCCTTAACGAGTAGCCAGTTCATTTTCAAGAGCTTTCTCCCTGTGACTGGTCAAATATTTCCAATACATTTTCTTTTAAGCTAGATACAACATTATAAGAGTTGGTCCTTGACTTTGAGCGCCTCCCTTTTACTTGAAAGCGGAAAAATAGTCTCTCCTTACTCTAGCACAACTTAAAACACAAGGTTTCTGCTTCAGTGTTAGAGAGTAATAAATGAAGTGACTGAAAAACATTTCGGGTAGCTGCACGTGCTGCTGCTATTACTATGTTGAAACCGACCGAAAAGGTGAGTACCCTAGTTCTTACTTATAGAAGTGGTGAAAAACGTGTAGATAGCTTATCAATGAGCAGTGGCTCTGTGAAGATCACACAAGCTGCGGGACACACTGCTCGCACATTGCCGGAGGGCGAGACAGCGAGAAGCCGATATTAATGCCAATTTTCGCGCCCTGATTGCTTCATTATTGTGCTGACGGGGAAAGATACGTTTCTCTGTGGTAGGTTTGGTATTGTGGAGGAACTGTAGGTGGAATGGGAAGAGGGGGGAGGCGTTGCTCCTCGAGCTGGAACTCGAGGATAGCGCACCATTAGCGTGCTCGGTTGCGTGTGAAAGACTCTCCATTATATTCCATCGATGTCAAGTGCGCGCTATCGTAAATCCCATTGCGCGGCCCCTTTCATCTACTCTTGCAATCCCTCCTAGTCTATCTGCACATACGCAGTGGATGAATTCTCGGTGATACTGAGATCGCCGACACACACACACCCGCTGCGTTTTCCCCATCAGCCACCTTCTGGCCTCGAAACGCAATCAAGGCTGTGCCACGATGAGAGCGGACATTCCAATGAATGCCGGCTGGGGAGTTGCGGAGAGTTTCTTGCGTAATGGAGCGCGTTTATGCAGCAGCCGTGCCTTTAACCACCTGGAGTTTTAGGTACGTAGATTGATTCAAGGTCGGCGAACTTTCACTTGTATTATGTGAAGCTATTCTAAAACAAAGCTTTAATATGTAAGGTCGCGAGCAAAGGTTTGGGCACTTACAAAAAATATATATCTACATGAGTTTCTTTTTCTAGCGCAATTCCATATTGTAGGATTGCTTCTGTGGTCGAACGGGTGCACTTCAATTGGAACACTCGATTTCAAGATTACGCAGAAAATGTCTATTTCGGTATTAGTTGATACCCAAACTTTACTACCTAACTGTATTGTTCAAGAGTACTTTGCTTACATGCCATCCACTGGTTAAATACGCTGACGCACAAAAAGATGTCGTTTAGTTGTTTTTTAAGTGAGAGGAGGCTCACTACCGCACGGTTTTTAACCTCTTCAGTCATGATTTATGATGCGATCTCAGAAACGCGTCAAATTCGCGTGGTGTAATGCCAAAACACTCAGTATAATATTCCAAGCACAGAAATTAAAAAAAAATGCACTGTCTTCTGCGACTTCTTGTAATTAAAGTTAATGAGTGTGTAACTAATTATCTAATTATTTTTCCCCGGTCAGCTTCAGTACTGGCACAAAAAATCTACTATTAGGCCCGAAACACATGCACATTTTGTTTTTCGCTTGTCTTAGTTTTGAGCGGAAAAAAATACTTTTCAGGTTAGCCCTTGAACGTGCAACAGGCCGAACAATTGTCGATCATGTTAGTATACCCAGTTAAACGATGCTCCACGGCAATATGCAGCATAATGAAGGTAAATTATCGCCGTTTGTAGTCTCAGAAGGCCTGCACAAATGTGCACACCAAGCTTTAAGAAACATGCATTGCGTGACGTCCCATTGAATTGTACGTCTCCATTTGTACACACCGTGACTGAAAGGATAGTTCAATACACCGTGAAAACTACACCACCTTAGTTGGACAAGGCGCATACGGTTCGAACGGTAATGGACATTTGAGAAAACTCGGAGTATCCTTGCGAAAAAATCGATACAGCTTCTTGAGCATACGAGTTATGTCTAGCCAGCCAGTGACAACTCCGAAGAGAGCATTAATGATCGAGTTCGCCGTTTGATAACCGCTTTCCTTATGCACTTATAATGAGCAGTCGACCTTTTGTGCAATGTGTAATCAAACGCCGACAGTTAGGCTACTCAGGCTGCTATGCGGGGAGATAAATACGATTTGTGGATGTATCATTGCACGGCTACCGGCTTATATCAAAATACGAGGGACGCCATATCACAATCGTGTGATATAGACAAAATGTTTAAAAAGGTTGCGATATTATTGGCAAGCAGTCGGGGTTCGCTGTTTATCCTCGTTTTTTAAAGGTGCATAAATACCAAGAATCTTTCAACAGGTTAGCCCCGAAATGGCTGTTGCTGCCCAGGTCTTTGAGACGGTTTATCTTATATCAAGCAAAGGGGAAAACGCAGTTAGACATCTTTTTAGGGCATCGCTGGATAATTTTCACCAACACGGCTCCATGTCGAACTTTGGTCTCATGAGAATACTTACGAGCTTTAAATACCAAATTCTCTTTTGATATGCCAATAAGAAAATACAATGTATAGTAATTTTTGGCCATTGACGTCCCAAAACCACGATACATACGGTTATGAGAGACGCCGTAGTGGAGGGCTCTTTAACGTGCACCTAAATCCAAGCAAACGACCTCATAAAGCACGTTCGCCTCCATCGAAAATGTGGCAGCCGTGGCTGGGATTCGATTCTGACAGCGGCAGTCATGCACCACAACCACAAGACCACCCTGGTTACAAGAGTGGATCCAGCTCACGTGTCAAGGTACACGTGCTGTCGTTCACGCACTCGGGCTTTTATAAGCAAAAATGTCTTAAGCTGAAAATATGTGAGAATACATCAGTGAATCACGATAGCATCACTGAAGCCGGCTGACCAATGCGAACACGCGCTTATAAAAAAATTTCCGGGTCCAGCCCCGGAATTGCAGGCTGCGGCAGGCGGCAAACGATTTCACGGTGAGCCGTGTTAGTGCAATTTAGCAATTCAGTCTTGGCATTTAGTTCGAGTTTAGCAGGCAAGCAGGGGGAGACAAATTTAGGCTTACATACAGGTTTCACGGTTAGCTAAAGCTTCGAGAATGAGCCTTGGTTGGAATCGCACTCGGTACAACGGGAAAGTAGAGTGGAGCTTCCGTATTACCCTCCATGTTGGCGTGCACGACACAAAAGAATCCGCACGTCGCGAGGACAGCAAGGGCGAGGAGGTGAAGGCAGCTCATTGTGACCAGGGCGCCTGGGAAGAAAAAAGAGAGAAAAACAAACTTAAGTGTCCGTTCAACATATACAGATTGAAGGAGAGAAAAATACAGTCGTTGCGGTAAGAAAAACATAGGGGTGTGCGAATATTCCACATTTTCGAATAACGATTCGAATAGCGTTATATTTGATTCGCTACTCGAATGAAGTAGTGCATATTCGAACTATCGATGATTTTCTGAATACCTTTCGATTGATCAGTAGCGACGGGAGAACCCCAAAGACACAACACTTTCGAAGACATAAGGGTAATTTTTCTTGTTGGTATGAGTGAATTAGTGATATTCGTGTGGTTCAAGCTTTTAAGGTGTCATCGAAGCTTTACTAATCAACTGATGAAAGACTTTTTGGTTTTTCTTTACGCTCCAGTGTTGCCGAAGCGAATGTGTCCTCAATGCGCCACAACCATGATGAGATTTATGATGATAATTCAAGAAATATTATTCAGTTTTACGACTTGGTGTTAATAAAAACTTGGTGACAAAGTAATGCCTTGATTGATTGATATGCAGGGTTTAACGTCCCAAAACCACCATATGATTATGAGAGACGCCAACAAAGTATTGCCTTGAATACTGAAGTAACTGCTGTATTGATATTAAAGTTAACAAATACCTTGAAAGCTCTAGTTGCTGATGTATACGAGCTCAACCTTAGTTCGAATAATTGTGGCATTTTGTTTCGGTTAAATGTAACGATAATGTTATTTCGTTAAAACTGGTGAATATTTGTCTTAAATAAAGAGTTGTAGAATTCTAGTCACCTCTAGATATTGGTTAACTTACTGCTCAAAACTTATTCGCGCAGTATTCGATTCGGTTCACTATTCTCACACCCTTCATAACACCGACAAGGTTACTCCTAAAGAATAAAGACACTGAATCAATCCAAGCAAGCCATGTCCATTACTCAATTAACATTTCGACAAGACAAGCTTACTACGCTTGACAAGAGACACACGAATGAAACGGATTTTTTTTACATGCTCGTTGTCTTGTTAGACCCAACCAAATGCATCCAACGACCGTCATGTCAAGAAAACCGTAGGACACAATAATTGTTGTGTTTATTTGTAGTGTAGTATTTATGTGCTAAATGAAAAATAATGAAAAAGTATTGAGAATTGAAAACGAAAAGTATTACTATTGCCGTCAGTAGCTTTCGAGCCCACAACCATTCAATGGTTGTGGGTTTGAACCCCAACGGCGAAGTGGGTGATTTTTCGTCCACTCTAATTCACTTCAGTTTACGTCGGAATGGCTACACTACAGTTAAACCTTGCAATCACCGTCTACTATGATTGCATTGACGTATGTCTTGGTGAATTTACTAGGTTATCTGTAGGAGGTATTCACTGAGCTCGGCCAGCAGAGTGGTGCCAGCGAGTGCGTACATCCGGCAAACGTAACTGCGGTCGTTCAGCGATACGGAATATACAACAGCTCAATTTTATGTGAGTATGATAAAATACATCAAAGCAAAATGCGCGGCGAAGAACTTTGGTTGTAGTTTTACAATGACGACCACGCACGACAATGGGTACGGTTTCATCTTGATTTTAACAGAGAACTGGAGAACGATGACTATAATAAAAATAAGGGCACAACATGGGCGCCAACTCGCAACTGACTTTTATGAAGAAAGAACAGAAAGGTGAAAAAATGAACAGAAAACAGATAATTATTGATATCAACATGTGCAGGTGGCGCTTAGGTACTGGAATTCCGCATCACTTAGCGCGATAGAGGGTATGCTGATACAATTATCCCTTTTCCTTTGGATGTGGAACGCTTCGGTGATCTCTCTTGCTAACTGTTGTTTATGACGTGACAGTATTTTAGTGTCAGTGAAGAACTAAATGCAACCACACTGTTCACAAAGGGCGGTGAGTGAAAATACTTTGGTGTCTGATAGTGATCGTTCATGCTCCCTAAGACGAATATCGATACATCTCCCGCTCTGTTCAATGTATGATTTTCCGCATGACAGTGGGACAAGGTAGACGATGGTCATTACGCATTTAATGTACTGAAAAGTGTTTCATACCGCAAACGCTGCAAACCGTCCCCTTTCATCTGGATTGTGTGTCAATGCTTTTCTTGACTTTTGAGCACGCGGATTTCAGCTTTTGTGGAGGGGAAATACTACCTGCACACTTTTATATCAACGATTATCTGTTTTCTGTTTATTTTTTTACCTTTACATTTGCATGTTCTTTCTTTATAAAATTCAGTTGTGAGTCAGCAGCCGTGTGTTGACCTTACTTTTCTTTCAGTCCTCGTTCTGCAGTGCGCTGTTAAAATCTAGATGAATTCGTACCAACTCGCTCGAGTTGCGATTCTCATACGGGTATGATGACTGCCACGCTAGCATCTCCTTGAGGATGACGTCGTGTGTTTACCTCTTGTACTACGAATTAACCAATGGGGTGTGAAGAACACGCAGTATTAGGCAGGTTCACAAAATACAGTAACAGCACACATCAGATAGTAGCACTGCTTGCGACATGTGCTAGCACAGTCTACTGTGGAAGAAGAGCATAGATTCAGTCAGTGAAATAAAATAGTCCTTGTCCGATAGCAGAAACTAAATCAGTGCGTGACTGAAACAGGCCCTCCACGAGTTGAGTTAACATATAGTGTCAGTGCTTGGCGGCATGTCGGCAAATAACTGGAACAACCCCTCAAAGTTTGACAAACCATATCCCAATATATATCCGACGAATATATGCAAGATATGCCGTACTGAACTAGCCACAATAAATAACATGCTCTAGTATAGTACCGAAAATCCGCCTAATACAGTTGTTACCAGTCAACTAGAACTTCAGGCGCACTGATGAAAAAAAAAATAGTGTTTCGGGTTTTCGCTTGGCTCTAGACGAATGCAAATGTTACTTTTCATGTCTCCGTCTTTTATATGTACGAGTACGCCGTAAATAGCGAAAGACGTGAGTAGGGGTTAGAGCGATTAGTTGGGATCGGGCGTTTAAGAACGTGGACGGTAGAGAAGCACTTGTTTTCTAAAGGAAGCACGAAGTGAAGGAGAAAAAGAAATACGAAGAGAAAATTAATAAAAATGCGCAAATCGTCGAATCACATTACACCTAGGGATCTACATCTGGATCCACACAAAGAATATAAACATTACAACGAATAATAGCTAGTAGTCCAAGTCATCATTACACGAGACATCAAAAGAAACATAATTCAATCTATGCACCCACATAACTCGAACACAGCTCGCCCAAAGTCCTATTTGTGGTAACAAGAGGGTACAATGTTCATGACAGTGTACAATGTTCATGACAGCCTGGTTTATATAAGGTGGGTCGCAGTTTCCATTTTTTATTGAAGTGATTTTTAAGAATGTTTCCTACACTCAACAAACATGCCTAGAAATCCACGGGATTTTTGTAGAGGACATTTTCTATTTTCTATACGAAAACTATACAGGAAAGGACTATGTGTTTTCGATCCCCTGAAAAGAAGACTGGCTCTGAAACAGTACGATGGGAAGGAAACCTCAAAGTGATGCTTACTGACTACGCAATTTCAATGTGCCAGCGCGACTGCATCAAAGCAAAAATAGAACGTTATCGAAAGTGTTTCTCAATTTTCTTGGATTAAAAATGTTTCGCTAAGCACCAAACTCGAATTCATCTTCCAAATACGTTAACATGAACATTTAGGCAGAGAGAGGTATATATGAATGCAGTATATTTGTATTGAGACTGAATCACTAAGGATAACACCAACAAAACTTACGGCAGGCGCATCCAAGCTAAACGTTTTAAGAATAATTAAAAAGAAATGCTTCAAGATGCGCGTTTCCACTGAACTCCAACCGATTCATTTTTCATAGACAGCGAAGTTATGACGAACTCCCACCACAGCTTTTTTTTTTATACGCTCACTATCCCGCATCGCTAATGGCTTGCTCTCTGTTGCCAGCTCGAGTTTCGTAACGACCCGATTCTACTGCGACCCCCTCGACATTCCCCTCAGCACCCCGCACACCGCCACCTCCGGCGTCATCGAACTGCTTGGCTCTGTCGCTGTCACGGCATTGTGCACTCAATGCAGATGCGGCATGGCGCACAAAGAACACCTCCAGGAGTAATCTTCCCACCATTTGCATCGGAACCCCGGTATTTTCTATCCTCTGTTTAGATAAAGAAAGCTATGGCATACACTCTATGCGTTGTGGCAAGCCTAGGCCTCTTCTGTGATATATATCCATAAAATCGTAATGTCGGGTGCTCTCTGTTGCGTTTCCAGTTTCTCTGCAAGTAGCAGTAACAAAAAGCATCGTCGTTATCATCAGCAAGCACGTTCTGATATTCGGCTATCTCTTTCTTATATTTTTATGTCGGGGCGCGCTTGTATATTTGGAAAATAATGACGCATCAATGTAGACCTCTCATAAGCCATTTATCATCAACCAAAGGTGCAGCCCAGGGAGGCAAAAATAAATGGAAGCCTTGTTTTTTGCACCAGCCTTGTTGGCTCTCCTCGTGCGCGTTATGAGTAACTGAGGGCATCTGGAACCTGCCATAAGGTGAACAATGTCGCCTAGGTTTCCCAAGACCTACGCTCCCCCCCACACCCCTGCCTTCACATCTTCTTCTCGGGTTACAGCTAATTTTTCTTGTGTTGAATAAAAGAAGCCTGTGTGGCGACGGGCAAATCAGACTGTCGCTCGCAGAGGTTATCATCTGAGGCTTCACCCGTGTCTTAATGTACGAGCTCAGAACGCGACGCCCGCAGTAAGGTGAGGCAACAAATGAATTCTAGTTATAGGTCGAGGAACTGAACTACATGGTCCCGACACAGTAAATATAGTCTTTGAACTGAGGTTAAGCATTACCGCTGAATACTCTTATGTAATTGGTCATAATGTGTGGACACTAAAGGTTTCACTCCACAAGCTGTAACAGCTACCTCATCTTTATTAGGCTAAGATTAATACCCACCG